TTTCTTCTTTTTCTTTTTCTCAAATTTTAACGGATATTTTTTTTTTCCGTTGTCTTTTCCATTTTAGGTTTGGTTTTTCATCACTTGATGTCGTCTCGAGTGCTCTGAAATGATTTCCGAGACTCTTTTCCTTAGATTGACAGCTTCCTTTGGGGATTGTGTCATTTCCATATTTTATTTTTCCGAACACTATTTACATTTTGTCTTTTTCTCGTTTATCCTTTTTCCTTGCACAACCTCACTTTTTGTGCTCGAATTTGATTCTGGTTTTGCATGCATTCATGATATTTGATTTCCATGATAGTGGTATTTTTACTTTTCTAGAAAAGTATGTTGATTGCTTACTTCTTTCATAAAGGGGCATTAATGCATACTTTAGTGTAATTATTCTTAACTTGTGAGGTTTTAGTGTAATTAAATAAAGTAATTATTTTTCATCTTGGGGACCATTTTGCAATTAAATTTGGAAGATATTTTCAAAAAGGACCTTTTTACAATTTTTGAAAAAGTGTGACAAGTGTCACTCTCTCATTGGTCCACTTGTTGACATTTGTGTGGAAACACTTTAATGCATTGAATGATGACATTTGGAGGGCGAGGATTCACCCACTTGTTGGCCTAGGATTGGTGCACTTGTTGGCTTGGATGGTTGACAAGTGTAGGTGTGGGATCAAGCCTAGGAAGGAGCCATGGATTGGGGACAAGTGTAGGTTCACAACTTAGTCTCGCAAATATCTTTGGGCCACTTTGGGATTATGGTTTTAAAGGAGGGTTTTTGTACAATTGACCATAGATGTGTGTGTTGACCATGGTGTAAGAGCACATAGTGAGTGGAGGATTTCTATTTCCTCCACTCACACTTAACCACATTATTTCATTCTCTTCCTTACAAGAAAACCCTAGCCTCCATGGATGGAGCTTGAAGCCTTAGGCATTGACCTTGATCTTTGAGGCCCTTCCACTTACTTTAGACCATAAAGCTTGGAATACTTTTTGTTCCCCTCATCCTCCTCTTCAAAACCCTTGAAGGATCTAGCCTAACTCCTAGTTTTGCTTTGGTATCTAGAGATTCAATTCTCTAGTGAGGTATTAATCTATTATTTTGAAGTATTTTTATGTCATTATTGAGTGTTTTACATGCATGGAAGAGAAGGACTTGTATTTTGCCCTTAAACTGTTTTAACTTGAAATTAATCTTGTCAAATTAAATATAGAATATGAAAATATACTCAATTAGCTTTCATTTAGTTTTGGTTTCATGTAATTTGGATTTAAAATGAACTAGTTATGAATTTTTGAAGTTGCAAGCTAGTTGTTGGAAATTTGAAGCTTTTCCTTTTCGGTCCGGAAATGAATTTTTATATGGAGCTGTGGTGCTTCAATTGCCTTGAAATTTTTACTGGAACTTCCCCCATGGGTTTTACACTACTCAGAATTTTTTCACGATTTTAGAGCATTTCTAAAAAATTTTAAAAATCCGAAACTATCTGCTGTCCATGTTTTTATTGCAGCTGGAAAACATATTTTTAGATGATTTATTTCACTAACCTTTTGACATTGGATCATGGTTTAAATTTCCAGTTTTACACTCTCATATGTTTACTTCCAAAATAAATTACGTTTGCCCAATTTGGATGTCAAATGAATTTTTCATGAATTTTCAAAGTTGGAAGCTACAGGCTGAAAATGTGTTTTCTAGGCAGAATTTGTTTCAAAGTTGTAGGTCAAAACTGTTTCAATTGAGAAAATATTTTGTTAAACTAAATTGATATTATCAAATTACAGTGTTTAAGCTTTCATTGGGCCTTGGATTCATTCAATTTGGTTTAGAATTGAATTTTTTATGAATTTTACAAGTTGAAGGTAGCAAGCTGAAAAATCTGTTTTGCGGACCGAAAATTTGGGGCGATTTCATTTCGGTGGTAATTGGGATTTTCATTCCAATAGAGGTAGGGAATGTTTTAGAATTATTTATGTCTTGTATTGTGTGTTTGCCATGATTATACAACATATATGTATGCCTTGTATCAAATCTAGAAAGTTAGTAATTTTTATTTCTTTGTATAAGATTTAAAATTTATGATGATGTATAACTTTGATTTGAATTGTAACATGCTAGAAAATTATGCTTAGATATGTTAGTTAACATATATTAAATTTGGATCATTTGATTAAGAATTATAACTTTTATTTAATATTTATCTTTAGTGAAAGTTTAATTCACATGGTTGTATCAAGCATTAAATCAAGTTGTAATGTGGTATTTAAATAGGCCTTGGCATGTTCTCTAACATAGATTAAATTGAGGGCATTTGGAATTTTTTAAAAATCAAGAGGAAATTAATTAATTAGCTTGATTAATTTTGTTTTAAGTGTTTTAATCACTTAACTTGTCATTTGATGTTATATATATGATGACCATGACATGTCTTTCAATATATATTAAATTGAGGTTATTTGGATTAACTTGGAATTTAGAGAATTTAACTATTTATGTTTAATTAAATTCTACTTTATTACTCCATGGATTTAATTGCATTTTGGAAGTTGTTTCTATATTTAAATCATGGATTTGGATTTGATGTATGTTCACTTGATTACTTTTGAGTATTGGATAACATAGTTGTTACTTTTATATTCATGAGATTATGTTTTTCCTTATTGAATATATTGTTGCTATGTGTAAGGAATTGCACACTTTGTATTTGACATCTTACATGCCATAGTAGTTGTGAATTTTGAGCATGTATTGTATAAGTTTCCAAATTTTGGAATGTGCTTGGTAAATAGTTGATATCTTGTATATACATGTTGATATATATACGTTGTTGCATAATTTGTTGATTTTGGAAACTTGGGGATGTCGTTGTTTGGCTACGGCTAGGACTTGGTTCTAGTACGGGGGATTGTCCCTCTATACAGTCTAGTGCGCACATAGGGAGGTTACCCATGGGCTAGTAACCCTAAAGTAACTATGTTGTCGGTCTGATCCGGCGTGACGTCCGAGTATCCACTTTGTTTGATTTCGTATTTCATTTCAAGTTGATAACTAGATGATATCGTAACTTGTTGTTCCTTATTTGATTTCCTATTTTGAGCTTAAGATGTAGCTTTGTGAAAGCATGCTTCATGCGTTGTATTGGAACTTCCATTGTTGGTTAAATTACATCGATATCATAATTTGTGTTTTGATATTCAAATGTAGTTTAGGAATGACCTTATAGATTCATTTTGAACATAGACGTTAGGTGGCATGACCCACACTTGTTTTCGTATTTTGGATTTCAAGTTAAAGACTTTGAGAATCTATATCTTGTTGCCTTGTATAACATGTTTCCATGTTGTTTGAATTGCATGAACAATGTGATTATGATAGAAATGATTTAGGTAGCTTAGGATGCTCCCTGGGTCTCATCTTGACATAGACGTTAGGTGGCATGAGCCCCTTTAACATGTTTCACCATAAGGTGATAAAATTTTAAAATGCTAGGTCGATGCATGCTCATTTCCTACGAGTAGCTTTATGTTACTCACCCCTACGATACTGGGACATATTTCAGGTACAGGACTCAGGATTTAAAGATTCCACTGCTCCTTGGATGGCTTACAGTTTCTAAGTTTCTATTTTATGCAAGTCATTCCACTGCTCATGGAGAGTCATTTTGGGGCCTTAGGGATGACGTACATCTCTTGAGGTCATTTGGCTTCTTTCGCTTCTGCATTTCGGGTCCGTTATCGGGTCAACTTCCAATTCATCACTAACGCACCGGGTTGAGAAATCCGGGTCGTTACACTCTCTCTAACAACTTAAGCTTTTAGGTGGTTTACATGGTATCAAACCAGGCAACAACCAGAGTTTAAACCGCTCCATCACCTTGAAAATTAAAATCGAAACACGTGTTGGACCAAAAGAACGCCACTTGTGAGGGGACGTGTTTGAGGATTTAAATATTAAAGTTACACTCACTCTGAGAAGAACACAAACCAAGTTAAATTTCTAAGAGAATCTCCAAAATACCAATTGAAAATCACAAAAGAGCCAACATGTGATTTTTGTTACCAAATACAATGACAGCAAATAAATCATGAAAATTTTCCGATCATGAAATATCCCATTGGAGATCCTACTGCAGTACCATGATGATTCTACAATCCAAAATGATTGTTAACAATTCTATTATGATTCCTAATCCACTAAAAGTTGAAACATGATTCAGACTGATTTTCAGAACTTTGGATTGTATTGTAGCTAAGAAGAGATGAACTTGGTTAATTGAACCCAAGACCAGAAGTAGCCCCATCACACCAGGTTATATACTCGTTGAACCTAACCTAAGCACAGTTTAAGCAATACCTACAATTCTAATATCCACAGAGAAGAGTCAGAAAGGATATGTGCAGCCAAATTCAAACAGAGGAATAAAAATTGGGCAAGATGAGTTTAAGGAGTACTCAATACATAAAATCAATAGAGTTAAAAGTTCTCCTAGCCTTTCATATTTCAAACAATAGGTTAACCGGTGAATTGAGTATAAATTATCATCAATTATATTAGCATCAATGTGGTGTTGCTAACCTACAAGAGGAAAAGAAATGATGTTAAACAATCATGAAAATCAAGGACTTAGGTACAAGCATTGAGGACAGGAACATCACAAAATCATCAAGCACAATTTTCTACAAAAAAAAAAAAAAAAACAATGTCACAAGTACAACATGGGTGGAAAGGCCTGCGGAAAGCACTGTGCAACTGAAATAAAGGAACCACTAGATGTGAGTATGAGTGATTAAATGAAATCACTCTCCAAATGAGTCTCTCCATGTCCATGTTGCCCCTAATGGGTTTGAACATATGCATGACTTGACTAAATAGGGTGTGACCGCCAAGATATTCATTTGAACATTGTCTGAACTTGAACACTTTCCTAATGACAGAATATGAATCATATGATAAAACAGCTTGAGACAGTTAGCAAGTAAACAAAGTCAGAAATTCTCACCTCTTTCATGCTCAAGTGCCCAACCTTAGAAGTACTGTTCCCAGATATCCGCTGCAAATCCCTGCCTATCTTGTGAGAATCAAGTCTCCAAACAGCCTCGAATTTCAATGATGACAGTTTAAATAAAGATACTTAAAAGTGAATAGGTAATCATGTTGTCTGGTTTTTAGAAATAATAGCTGTAGCATGCAGTAAACAACATTTCCCAAATTTAAATTCTTTTTGGATGAAATTATGTTATCCAAATTTCGATGTTCCTTTTGTCAAGAAATATTCATGTATTTTCTCCTTCCAAGTGTATTTGAGGAGTGTACTTTGTTTTCAAGTGGTCTCTAATATTCGGATGAACTTGACCAAGAGTGCACTTATTCTAGTTGGGGAACTCCAAAATGTAGAGGCTTTAACAAATAATATGTGGAGGTGGGTTCTATTCTCACGTCCTACTTATTGATTCCTTTGGGATCCTCATTCAGTACAAAAGCAGTGTGGGAAGCATTTATTAAATCAATTTTTTTTTAATAAGGCTTGCGTGTCAGAGGAGGCAGTAACTCTCAAATGGGGGTGGGGGAAGACCAGACGTAATGCCCCTAAAACCCATGATCCGGTGCATTAACCAAGAAGACTAAAACCCGACCCGACAACGAGTCCTAAAGGGGAATCAATGAAGGTGAGCTCACATGGCTCAGTAGGTCAATGCTAGGTACATACACGTGCTACATTTCCGTGGTTCCACAAGTAAAGTCCGTGTCAACAATGCAAGGGACATGGTCCCTAGCATCTAATTTTCTGGGAAAATCCCAAGGAATCATCCTAAGCTAGCATAGGCAAGTACACATGAAATATACACAATAAAACCCTCAATAAAAGCATGCAAGATCTATTTCATTTCAAGTAGTAAAACTGTTGGAAAGGAGAATATTCGGCTGAGATTTATTGCTGATCTCTAGGGATTGCCCAGCTGTATTTTATGCTTAAATATAGGCCTAGTCAACTCTGTAAAGAAGGAATATTAGTTATATAGTTATTCTGTTCCTTTTTTAATGCCTCGTATAGCCTATAAGTAGTGTACGTGGATATCATTCTCAGTTTCAATGAAATACCATTTCACTAAAACAATTCTCTCCTAATTCCTTGTTGTTTAGATGGTATCAGAGCAGGAACTTTATTTCTGACTCTTTTCTGCATTCCGAAAAAAAAAATTACCAGGACTTATTCCTTGGTAAACTCCACATTTTTTTCTTTTTCCTCCCAAATCGAAACCCTAGCTTCTCACAATGTCTGAAGTCTCTTCTAAGCCTACTGAAAACCGTGGTCCCAATTCTGATTCGCACTCTGTTCAGATAACCACTATACGTCTTAATGGAGACAATTTTCTGCGCTGGTATCAATCAGTGCGTATGTATAGTCGAGGGAGAGGAAATATTGGGTACCTGACTGGTGATACAAAGGCACCTGATTTGAAGGATACAACTTATGCCACTTGGGATGCAGAAAATTCCATGGTTATGGCCTGGCTTGTTAATTCCATGGATGAAGACATCGCCTCTAACTATATGTGCTATCCAACTGCTAAGGAACTCTGGGATAAATATTCACCAGATGTATTCTGACCTTGGCAATCAATCCCAAGTGTACGAACTACAACTACAGCTTGGAGAAATTTGACAAGTGGGAGACAACGTCATCAAATACTTCAATATGTTGAAAAGGCTGTGGCAGGATCTGGATATTTTCAATGACTATGAATGAAAATCTTCAGATGATTGCAATCACCACAAGAAGACAGTGGAAAACGATTGCATCTACAAATTTCTTGCTGGCCTAAACGTAGAAGTTGATTTAGTAAGGGGAAGGATCATTGGTCGTGGTCCTCTTCTTTCACTTGGAGAGTGTATTTGCAGAAGTTCGGAGGGAGGAAAGATGCTGTAGTGTTGTGCTCGGAAAAAAGGGGGCTAGGGCATCGATTGAAAATTCTGCCGTAGTCGCTGCTGATGCAAATGCGAGCAGAACCTCCAATAGCCAGCTCAGAGCCGAGGACAAGCCTCGGATATGGAGTGATTTCTGTAACAAACCCCGCCATGCACATGAGACATGCTGGAAGATTCGTAGCAAACCCGCCAACTGGAAGAGCAGCAAGCCTGGAGACCGATCTACTCGTGCAAATGAGGCTGATGCGGGTCCCTTCAGTAAATAGCAGATGGATCATCTTCTGAAGTTGCTGAAATCCAATCCAGAGTCTGGTATTCCTTATGTTTCTCTGGCTCGAACAGGTAGCAACTCTATGCTTTCTCTTGTCATTCTAGTCCTACACCTTGGATCATTGAATCGGGTGCTTCTGATCACATGACAAATCTCTCCCATGTATCATTCATATTCGCCTTGTTTTAGTAATAAAAAAATTAGAATTGCTGATGGAAAATTTTCATCTATTGCAGGAAAAGGCTCTATCAAAATTTCTGAAAAAATCACCCTAAAATCTGTCCTTCATGTCCCTAATCTTGCCTGTAATCTCTTATCTGTGAGTCAACTCTCTAAAGATTCCAATTGTCGTGTCACCTTTTTTGACTCTCATTGTGATTTTCAGGACCTGAGCACGGGGATGATGATTGGCAATGCTAGAATGGTGGACAGTCTTTACTATTTTGATGACAACTTCCTCCGTAATAAACAAGCTCGAGGCTTTGGTACTAGTATTAGTTCTCTCTCTGTCCGTGAACAAAAAAATGATTTGGCATCTTATACTAGGACATCCTAGTTTTTCCTATTTGAAGTATTTATTTCCTGTTTTATTTAAAAATGTGGATTTTTCATCTTTTCAATGTGAAAGTTGTCATTTATCAAAGAGCCATTGTACTACGTACAGTTCAAAACCATATTGTGCCTCAAAACCATTTTACTTAATTCAGAGTGACGTTTGGGGTCCTTTGAAAATTACCACATCTTCTGGAAAAAAAAGGTTTGTAACTTTCATAGAAGATCACACTCGACTATGTTGGGTATATTTGATGAATGATAAATCTGAAGTTGAAAATTTGTTCAAAATTTTTTATAATATGGTTGAAAACCAATTTCAAACAAAAATAAGAATACTTCATTCTGATAATGGAACTGAGTATTTCAATCAATTTTTGGGGAATTTTTTAAAGGAAAAGGGGATTCAACATCAATCTACTTGTAGTGATACTCCTCAACAAAATGGTATTGCCGAGAGAAAAAATAGACATTTACTTGAAGTTGCACGTGCCATTATGTTCTCAATGCATGTACCAAAATATCTATGGGGAGATGCTATTTTGACAGCAATTTATTTAATAAATAGAATGCCTACTCGTATTTTAAAATATATTACACCTTTAGAGTGTTTCAGAAACTTCTTCCCTGAATGTCGACTTTTCTCTGAGTTACCCTTGAAAATTTTTAGGTGCACTGTGTTTGTTCACATACCTAGTAGGCTTCGATCCAAACTTGATCCAAGGGCAAAAAAATGTGTGTTTATCGGTTCTGCGCCAAATAAAAGGGATATAAGTGTTATAATCCTAAAACAAAAAACATTTTTGTGAGTATGGATGTATCGTTTGTGGAAAGTCAGCCTTACTTTGGACAAAACTGTCTTCAGGGGGAGATAGTGAATAATGAAGCTCAATTTTGGGAAACAGCTATTCCTCTGCCTAATACCTTCTTTCCCGTACCTGTTCTTGGTCCTTCCACCTTTAATAATCAAGACTCAGTGCTCCGTGTTTACACTAGAAGGAATACTCAACAAAAAAATAAAGACTTGCCTACAACTCTAGCACAAGACCAACCACTGCCTCTGAGCGATGGTCTATCTACTACTCCAGGTTACTCTAATCCTTCTTTGTCAAATTCCACTCCTACTGCTTTCGATCTTGATGTTCCTACAGCACTTAGAAAGGGAGTCCAACCTGTACAGAACATCCTATTGCTAAATATGTGTCTTACCATAGGCTTTCTAAGTCTCATAAAGCTTTTACCTCAAAAATCTCCCACCTATTTATCCTGAGAACCATTCAGGAAGCTTTAGATAATCCAAATTGGAAATTTGCAGTTTTGGAAGAGATAAATGCTCTAAAAAAGAATGAGACTTGGGAGATAGTTAACTTACCTAGGGAGAAGGAAACGGTAGGATGCAAATGGGTGTTTACAGTTAAGTGTAGAGCTGATGGAGTATAGAAAGGTACAAGGCACATTTAGTGGCAAAAAGATTTACACAGACGCACGGTAATGATTACCAGGAGACTTTTGCTCCAGTCGCAAAGATTAATTCAATCCGTGTCTTACTATCCTTAGCAGTTAGTCTTGACTGGCCATTACACTAGCTAGATGTAAAAAATGCATTCTTAAACACGGATTTGGAAGAGGAAGTCTTTATGAGCCTACCACCGGGGTTTGAAGAATGTCTTGGTGAAGGGAAAGTGTGTAGACTAAGAAAATCCCTGTATGGCCTCAAACAATCTCCCAGAGCATGGTTTGAGCGATTTGGGAAAGCTGTAAAGGGCCACGGATATACACAAAGTCGGGTAGATCACACTAAGTTCTATAAGCACTCAAAAGAAGGAAAGATTGCTATTTTGATTGTTTATGTTGATGATATAATATTAACAGGTGATGATCATGTTGAACTCAAAAGACTCGAGAGGAGTTCTTGCTGATGACTTTGAGATCAAGGACTTGGGAGCCTTAAAGTATTTTCTTGGAATGGAGTTTGCCAGGTCTAAAAAGGGCATCTTCGTGTCTCAACGAAAATATGTGTTGGATCTTCTTAGAGAGACAGGTCTACTCGGTTGCAAGGCAGCAGAGACACCAATTGAACCTAATTTGAAGCTCTAACCTGCTAAACCCGAAGATATGAAGAACTGGGAACAATTTCAGAGGCTGGTTGGTAGACTAATTTATCTGTCGCATACTCGCCGAGATATAGCTTTTGCAGTGAGCATGGTAAGTCAACTTATGCACTCACCAGGTCTAGAACACTTCGAGGCTGTGTACAAAATCCTAAGGTACTTAAAGGGATCACCAGGGAAGGGCCTGCTGTTTGAAAAG